TAAACCTTCAAATTAGAAGATTTGTTTTTTTGATATAAAGAAGAGACAGAAGAAATTAAAAAAATGAAAAGATTATTCCTTTTTTTTTTTTTAAGATTGCCCAAATATGTGTGTATATGTATGAGTAATTACTTTTAGGGAAAAAGAATTATCACATAACAAATATGACATGAATTTCAAAATTTTCAAAGAAGAAAAAATTTTAACCTTATTTTTTTTTCTTTTTTCTTTTTTGTTTTGCCTTTTTAATTTCGAAAGATCATATAAACATTAATTGGCATGCTTCATTTAAAATTTACTATCATATTTTATCTTTAAAAAAGTTTTGGAAATAGAAAAAAAAAAAAAGAAAAAAGAAAAATAAATACATAGTGCAAGCATTTGGACTTCCATAGATTGATTTTGAGCTGGGATGAAGCTTAGGAACTTGTTTTTCCATTCTTTGGTAGACGGGAATAATGGGATAGAATAGAGATAATTTACATAATTTTACTCTCTATTTTATAGATGGTGAACATCTTTGTCTTAAAGTCCGAAGTCGATATCTTTGTTTTAAAATCCAAAGTCGATGAATTTTAAATTAATTGAAACTCAATATATATAATTACTAAATATTAGAAAGTTAATACAATATATATATATCTTTGTTGTTATTAGTACCTAGTTGACATGTCCAAGAAAGGTAACTCATCATGATAATAGGACCATGCTAATATATATACTTTTTCAAATATAAATTTCCTGATGATGCTAATGGTTACTTGTACGCTTGCAGGATTTATCAACCGGATGGTTTCATTGTGACCCTGATCCACTTTTTAAGCCAGAGTTTTATCCCTTACCGAGATATATTTCTCGATGGGTAAGAGAAAGATCTAGAAATGTCCAAAGGAGTGACTAGAAAACTAATCCACACAATTTGCTCCTTAACACCCCAAAATTTTCATGCTTCATGTTTTCCAATATTGTTTCTCAGATTTTTGTAGGGAACATGATCAATTTAATCATGGTATTGGCAATATTTGTCCTCACCATGGAAAGAGATATCAGTTTTGCCAGTGCAGTGGCATGCATTGTGCCAGGGTTTATTTGCATGAATTATAGCACCTTTTGGAGGCTTTTTTGCTAGTGGTTTCAAAAGAGCATTCAAGATCAAGGTGTATGCATTTCTTGTTCATCATTTAGTTGTTTCCATGTCAAAGTAAACTGTCACTTTGCAATAACCTTAATTCTCTCAACCAATACAGGATTTTGGTGATAGCATACCTGGACATGGTGGATTTACTGACCAAATGGATTGCCAGGTGTTCTTCTAAAACATCCAAAAATCTACTTTCTATTAGTCATGTATATATAGTCTGCTGAAGTTGAACTCATTTTGGTAAGTACCATTTTTTGAAAAACTCTGCACAAGATGAATTTAGTAACCAAAAATAGAAAAAAAAAAATGATTAATGAGTCTTGTTCCAACATTTCTCTTTGCTTTTAGATGGTAATGGATGTCTTTGCTTACATCTATCATCAGTCCTTTGTTGTTCCTCAAGACTTCACAGTGGAGTCAATTATGGATGAGGTAAGGCTGGCTAGCTGAGTAGATGTAACCATCAAATTTCCCAGCCACAGTGATTTAAAGAGTATATGGTAGAATATAGTATGTGATCATGGTATTTTCTTGGACTGTAGATATTGAGGAGTCTCACTTTGCAGGAGCAGCAAGCACCATATATGAAGTTGGGGCAGATGCTGCATGACAGAGTTCTTGCTTCATCTCATATTTGAGGCACACACTTGCTAAACCTACATGATGAGGACAGTAGTTTTGGCATGTACCAAATTTGTATGGTTTCTGGTTTCTTTTTCTGAAGATTAGACTTTCTAAGGCTTATTATACTTTTCATCTTTGTAAGCAGTTCTAAATTCAAAAACACCCTTTTTCATTCAATTATGATTTGATCATTTGAGTCTGGGTTTGCTCTTTATTTTTCTTTCTTTCTTTCCTTCTTTTTTTATGAGAAATAATACATTGCAGATTTCATTCATTTCACACAATATCATACACTTAAATTCATTTTGCACAATATTCTACACTTAATTAAAACTCATATAAAATTAATGAGACTCAAATAAACCTATTGTGGTTGTCGTGCATGGTCTATTGTGAGGCTTATTACTATTTTTTGGAAAGATCACAAAGAAATAATTTTTTTTTAATGTTCACAGAGAAATAATTCTTTTGTAAAATAAACAAGTGGTTGGAGACTTTAAATATTAAATATTAAAATGATAATAAATCTGTAAAATCCAATTGAGGCGTTTTAGACAGGCTTGAAGCCCAGATGTTATTGGCCCACGAAGATAAAACATAAAAAACCCAACGGTCAAAAACTGGCCCATGATCATAAGCTCAGGAACTCTCAGCTCTGCTTATGCTAGGGCTACGGTTACAGACTCGCCGCTGCTTGTTTGCTCGACTCCATCGGAAACTCGCTGCCGATACGAGTTAACTAGTCAACTCCACCTAAATATGTCCATCTACCGCCTCCTCAGCTCCGTTCGTCGCTCCTCCACCATCACCACCGCCCAACCCCTCTTCCATTTCTTTCATTTAACCCAAAACCCTGTCCAGAACCAGAGTCTTAACCCTCAAAGTCCTTACCTTTACCGCTCTTTTGCCTTCACCTCAGCAGAGGAAGCCGCAGCAGAGCGCCGTCGCCGAAAGCGTCGCCTCCGCATAGAGCCTCCACTTCATGCTCTTCGTCCATCTCCTAACTCCTCCCCTCCCGCTCGTGACCCTAATGGCCCACGCCTTCCGGACTCCACCAGTCAGCTCGTTGGCCCCCGCCTTAACCTCCACAATCGCGTGCAGTCCCTCATCCGCGCTTCAGACCTTGATGCGGCTTCCCTCCTTGCCCGTTCCTCAGTTTTCTCCAACATCCGTCCTACCGTCTTCACCTGCAATGCCATCGTTGCTGCCATGTACCGGAATAAGCGTTTTGATGAGGCCGTAGCCTTATTTCATTTCTTCTTCAAGCAGTCTAATATCGTTCCCAATATTGTGTCTTACAATAATTTGATCAATACTCATTGCGATAGGGGTGAAGTAGATACTGCTCTTGAGGTTTACCGCCATATTTTGGCCAATGCACCGTTCAGTCCATCTGCTGTGACTTACAGGCACTTGACCAAGGGTTTGATAGATGCAGGGAGGATCGGAGAGGCCATGGATTTGTTGAGGGAGATGTTGGCTAAAGGGTACGGTGCTGATTCTTTGGTTTACAATAACTTGATATCCGGGTTCTTGAAGTTGGGGAATTTGGAGAAGGCCAATGAGCTATTTGATGAATTGAAGGAGCGATGCCTGGTTTATGATGGAGTTGTGAATGCAACGTTTATGGAGTGGTGGTTTAGTCAGGGAAAGGATAAGGAGGCCATGCAGTCTTACAAGTCATGGTTGGATAGGAAATTTAGGATGATCCCAGCCACGGGTAATACTCTTTTGGAGGTTTTGCTCAAGCACGAGAAGAAAACTGAAGCTTGGGCATTGTTTGAGGAAATGTTGGACAGTCATATGCCGCCAAATATTCAGGCAGTTAATTCTGACACATTTAGTATCATGGTGAATGAGTGTTTCAAGTTGGGGAAGTGTGAGGAGGCAATTCAAACGTTTAAGAAGGCAGGGACAAAGGCAGGATCCAAGCCTTTTGCAATGGATGTTGCGGGGTTTAACAACATAATTACCAGGTTTTGTGAACTGGGGATGTTATCTGAGGCAGAGAAGCTGTTTGCTGAATTGTCTAAAAAGTCATTGTCAGCTGATGTGCCAACTTATAGGACAATGATTGATGCATATCTGAAGGCAGGGAGAATTGATGATGCTTTGCAGACTTTTACCAAGATGGTGGAGTCAGGTTTGAGGGTGGTTGCAAGTTTTGGAACAAGGGTGTTTGGTGAGTTTCTCAAGAATGGAAAGAACATGGAATCAGCATGGCTTTTGACGAAAATGGGGGAGAAAGATCCTAAACCTGATGCTTTGATTTATGATGTGGTGGTGAGGGGACTCTGCAATGCTGGTGAATTTGAGAAGAGCTGTGACATATTGGATCAGATGATGAGGTATGCTGTTGGTGTTACTCCAGTGCTGCTGGAGTTTGTGCGTGATGCTTTTGGAAAAGCTGGACGAATTGAAGAAATTGAGAGAGTTTTGAATAAAACCAGGTGGGCACCCCCCAGTACTGCTAGCCCACCTAGAGCTCGACCATGGGGACAGCCACAGCAGTCACCTATAGAACCTCCTCGAAATCAGATGGCTGCACAGCATGCATCAGTTTCCCCTCAAATGACAGGACAGCATGTATCGGGTTCTCAGCAGTACATGGGGTCTTTCAACGCTGCTCAAGTAAACCACTCGACATGATTTCAGTTTTCTTTATGGTGACTTGGATATAAATATGAAAGTCTACCATGTTGGAAGTCTTAGTTCTTGAAAAAAAAAATTGCATTTGCCTGGTCTCTTCTTCTTCTGGGGCCAAGAAACCTGGATTTGTCAACGAGTTTTTTATAGCATATTTCATATTTAATTACTTAGCTATCTGACCTATCTCTCAAATCCATTTCAGTTCTGAGTTGATTACTTACTATATGTTTCATAGGAGTGGCATTCCCATTATTGTGGTAACTTGGCAAGGTGGCATTCTAATGGTCATGGTTGTTCTATCTGTTAATTCATATACACATTTCTTTCCACTTCTGTTAAATGTCTCAAATTTTCATGTATGTAATACAAAGGAATATCAACCGTACAACCAAAACATTCAAGCACCATTTGTGTAGTAAGGCTTTGATTTGCATATTGTAAACCAGTAGATTAAATTAAGGGGTTGTGACTTTTGTGAGAATCATGCATCATTATATCTACCTCATTTACGGGATGGTTAAATCTTAAGAGGGTTATCTCTTGGTGTATAACCCATAGCCCAGCCTCATAGGCTAGACGGGGCAGCTTTTGCAACACTGAATAACTAAGAGATAGAATTGCTTAGAAAACATTTAATGCCTTATATGCTACAAAATCTCTATGAACTCCAAACTTTAACTTCCTGCATTCTCATTGAACAATTCTATAACTTTTTTCTTCACAAATCACAAGGTCCACTGGAAAAATGAAAATTCTGCAATTTGGCGTTACTTAGGCCCAAATGCAAAATGGGCAATGGCCTCTACGGTCACTGAAGCATCTCTTTCACCTAGTTATGTATTGAATTTCTGCACGTTCTTTCAACCATTCAAGCACTTTTGCACCTTCTAGTATCTCTTCTACCTAAGCAAATTACAAGGGGATAGATATCATGTCATTGTTATACCATGTAATCCAGAAAGTAACTTTGGAGAATTGATAAGCAAACTCTGGATTGTGCAACCCCACTGAATACATGAAATACCAACCTGTTCCTTCACGCGCTCTTCATCATATTTTTGTTTGTGGCGCTTGAATTCAGCAATTGAATTCTGGACTTCTTTCACAAGCTTCTCACTTGAAAACTGCAGTTAAACCATCCAAAAGGAATTTCTCTGACCGACAAAAACTAAAGATGATAAGTTATAAGTCTACAAGAAGAAGCAAAAATTGCATTACCTCCAAATTTTCACGTTTAAAAATATCTCCTACTGCCAGATTCTGCTTTATCATATTTATTATGTTTCCCTTCTGCATCTCCAGATATTCATTTACTGCCTTTGGACTTGATAGAGACGCTAACTGCTCTTCATCTAGTTTCATGTTTGCCTGCATTACCATAATAGATGCTGGATATAAGCTGGTATAGAAGCACAGATAAGCTTATAATCTTTTGGATACAAGGCTGCAAAAACAGTTCCCAACAAGAAATGTAGTCCTGACCTGTATCTCTAAAAGTTTTGCTCCATAGAGCTGCCGTCCTTGTTCCTCAAACAAGGATTGAGGAACATCAACTTCTACCATCTGAAAAACACAAAATAGTCAAGTTCATATAAAGAAGACAGGAAGCCCTAATCGGCAAGAGAGAGTTTAACCAGCCTAGAGGCTATCATCAACAAAACTAACCTTGCACAGCTGGTCTAAGATTGCATTATCTGTTGCTTGGTCTTTAGCAGTTTGCTCTATTTCTTGGCACCTTTGTAATAGCAATTCTTTTACCTGAAGATTCATTTGGCAGAAAATTTTAAGATGGAGTTATGTAAACATGGATTTGGAATTAGACACATCAGAGACTCCAGAGTTAAATACAGCAGTTACCTGCTTCAAGGTGGTGCATCCAGGAAGAAGCTTATCAGCAAGGGAGTCATCTAACTCAGGTAAATCTCTGTAAAACAATTCTTTGCATTCAACCTGTAAAAAGAACAAAAAAGAATGAAAGAAAAGAAGGAAATCCTTATATACACTCACAAGTCACAATCAAACTGAATCAGTAGGTCAGACAGCTAAACATTCATAGAATTCCTGATCAAAATCTTTACTGAGTGCCTGAATAAGTAAAATACAATCTTTTCGGAGGTATGTAGGATCAGGCTACATGACAGACAATAACTCTGCTCTATCATAATTGATAGGGAAGTCTCTCAACTCATCCCAAAAATTTTAATGGAAGGCTTCCATGTCTGAAATCCCACGTTCAAACCACCCAGATATCCTCCAGAGAACCATAAATTATGAATTTGAAAATGTGTCATCATTTCCTCTTTAAACCTACTTCCCTCAGAATTCAGTATTCTTAAGAAAAGAAAGGCCCCTTTTGGTTATCATGAAACTTGATTTTCAAAAAGACATGAGAACATTCAAATCTAAAAAGATAAAGGAACTCACAGTGAATTGAGCATGAACACCACGGAGATTTTCTTGATTCCATGATTCAGGAAATACAAGTGGAAAGGATCTTGTCTCACCACGTTTAATTCCAATCAATGCATCAAGGAAACCAGCAAGTACTTTATCACCATCTTCTGTGTCAAAATGAAAATCTGAAGAAAAAAAAAAAAAACCCGAAAAAGAAGATCAGGAACAAGGTAAGAATTGCATGATGATTGGTAAGAAGCTGATCTCAAGCTAATGAATCCATTACTAATGTGTGAGGGGTATGGAAAAAAGACTTAAAACACAAACATGAAAGTAACCAGCAAACCTTTGCTTAGGATGGGGGTATAAAAAATAATAATTTTTTCAACATAATTTGTTCAATCTGAACTTAAAACCAGTACTTTAATCTCATAGGCATGTTGATTCAACATAAATTTTTCAAGAGTAATGGCCCTCATGCCTAGGATGGGGTTATAAAGCAAAATGCCTGCAGATGAAGGTAAACAGAAGTTCATATTGGCAAACCTTTGCTTTCTGCAGCTGGAATTGCCTGAACATTAGATTCATCTTGATCAATAGTGGTTGCTGATATATCAATGACTGCAACATCACCAACCTGAGAAAATATCCAATTCCTATGAGATAGAACCTCCTGTTTTGATCAAGGAAGATATCTACAAGCAACCATCTTACTTTCTTCTCTTTAATTAAAATCCTTGCCATGAATAGGGTCCACTGATGATGAGGAGCATGTTAATGTCTTAGTTCCTAAAGGCTAACTAAAATATCTTTAAAATTAGGAAAGATTAAAAGTGTAATTTCGACAACTTCCTTTATTGAATAAAAGACACAAGCTGGGAAAATGCCATGTCAATGTGTTCATTACATACCTAATCTTTCTAAATATAAAAGGTGAAACTGATTTAGAAAGGAAGACATTTTTTTTATCAGCAATAAAGGAATGGCATAACAACAATAAATGAGTGAATTAAACAATGATAACCTGTAGCCCTCTGTTGGTCACAATTTTCAAAGAACCTAAGGCCTTGTGGCGGCGTCTTAGTTCATGCTCACAAGCTATTTCAGCATCTATTTCTCTGTCTATTTCAACAACAATCTTCAAATTCTTATACCCATTCTCAGGTATCCATTTGACTTCGGGTACCACATCAACAATGACATCATATCTGCAACACAAGAGGCCAATCAAAAAACCAATATCCATAGTTATTAAATGTAAAGACCGATGCGTACCAATAATATCAATCGTTTCCCCCTCCAGACACTTATATTTTAAATATTAATACAGAAATTTCTGAGGTGAAGAGCTGCATTATGACTTTATTAAAAGCCAACAAAAGAACAATCAGTTGTGACTTAAGGAGATGGAATAGAAACCTCAGGGAGCTAATAGAGGAATAGGTCTTTTCCATTTCAGAAAATTTGGTAATAATGCGGACTGAGTCTCTCAAAGCCTTTCCAGTTACCTGTAGACGTAGAATAAGAGCCAAACGTTAGCAATTGAATTGGTACTTCCCTACAGAACCAGATCCAAAGCAAAGACCGACCATGCCAGAAATCAAAACCAGACAGATGCAAATTAGTAACATACCGAAGACATAGCATGGGGAAGTGTCCTTTCCAAAATTGATTCAATTGTAGCCTTTTGAATATTTTCCTTCCCGACATAACTAATAAGAATACTCTCTGGGACCTTCTTTCCAGGGCGGAATCCAGGGACCTGGATACACAAAACTAGGAAAAGCATGAAATGTGCTTCCAAATTTGCCAAGTCAACAGCTTTGGATAAATATGTGGAAGCCTTCAAATGAACCTTGTATTTTTCTAAACTGTTTCTACAAAGTTGGAAATCATAATAATCCTGAAGACTCATTTTAGACAAATTTGCTATAGGATGAAATAAGACTCATAAAATTCTTCACAATATCATACAGCAGTTGATAACTTGGCAATCAAAATATAGAAAAATACTGAACCGCAATGTAGAAGCACCTTGGCTCGCTTCGTGAGTTCGTTCAAGACACGTTTGTAACAATCCTCGCATACTGCATCAGGTACTTCCACGCTCAACTTTACCTGTGTAAATAGAAATGCAGAGAGAACCTTAGGACACATCACATACAACCAGCATTAAGCATCAAGTGCATTTGAAATTTAGCAAAAGTAAAAAGCACCCACAAAACTAATCCAAAAAAGATTGCAAATTAACGTAATCATACGAAATTATCAGCAAAACTAAACTAGGGTACTTATATCTGCTGGAAAGAAGAGGAAAATCTCACTCTTGAATTGGGCTCTTGAGTCTCGGTAACCTCGATATCTACTGGAAGCCGGTTCGTTACAACTTCAGAAGCCGTTGAAGCTGCAAGTAGACGGGAACCGGAAGGAAACGAAGGTGGTTGAAGAAATTGTATTTGGCGGGAAAAAGATGAGAGTCTCTGAGGAAAATTTAAAGGGTTTTTTTGGTTCTTGATTTTAAATTGGAGAGTTGGGTTTCTAATAGAATCAGGAAAGGAACTTCCTTGGAAGAAAAGATGTGTTTTTTGGTTCAAATTGAGAATTTTTGGGAAGTTAACGCAGAGCTCCATTGCTGCTGCTGCTGCTGCTGCTGCTGCTGCTCTGTAACTGAAGTTTGAGCTGTAGGAAGATAACATTAGTTGAATTGAAGATATTTTTCACGTAAAACGGTGCGTTCAGTAGCGTGGACTCTTATTTGGGCCACTGAACTTTCACAAAGTTATCAGTTTCACATCTAAAATAACCCCACCATCAACTAAGCCCATTGAATGAAAATTTTCATTTAATAGATTCACTTGATTGATTGGACTGAACTTATTTCTTTTCATTTTTCTCAATCCAAGCGCATTGTTAATTTTTTATTGTAGATTCTTAAATGAGATATAAGCAAATTTGCTCTAGATCATTAAAGGGAAAAAAAAGGCTAAAAATAAGTTAGAAAAAAAAAAAAAAAACTAAAAGTGAGACTAATGACAATTAGAATAATGATACAAGTACCAATTCCTATAAGTCGAATTTAGAGGACTACTTACATAGCAAGTTAAAGTGTGAGGGAATTTTAAGTATCTATTCAAATGCTCCAAGTCCAAGTGTGGCTTTTAACTTGCCACATAAGCGGTTCTTTAAATTCGTCTAATAAGAATCGGTACCTATATCATTATTCATGACAATTAAATTGAAACAGCTTCAATAAGAATACTTGGGACCTAAGTGTTACATGTTAAAACAAGGTGCAATTTGCATGTCCCTCATTGTACTCTACTCTATTCCTTAATTTTGAACTTGTTCATGTTGTTCCTTTGATATCAAAATTAATTACTGTAAGGGCTAAATGGATTGTGCTTTAAAAGTTTAGGGGTGAAATATAATTTTTATCAGGAAAACGACACCGTTAGGGTAAACCTGTGTCGTTTCCTCTACAGAACCTCCGCACTGTTCCAAACGAACTTCACTCTTTCACTCTCCTTCACTCCTTTTCCCAAAGCCTCTATCTTTTGCTCCGATAATTCTCTCCGGTGGCTCCGGCGGAGGGACATAGGTTAAGGTTAAAGGTAGAAACCCGAAGGTTGCTCAGAATCGAATGGATGGTGTGGGGTCCGCGAGGCTGGGGCGGTTGTCGGCCAGGTACGGTTCGTCGGCGGTGTTCAACGGGCCTGTGAGGAAGTGGAAGAAGAAGTGGGTACACGTCTCGCCTCCATCGACTGTTAGTCACCAAAACTCCCAGTCCCATGCTCACAACGGAAACAACAGTAGCAGCAACATCCTGCTCTGCAGGTGGACGCCACTTCCCACCTCAGACTCAGCCTCCGGCGCCGCAGAGGAACCGCCTAAGCGCAAGTTCCGCTACACCCCAGTAAGTACATAGATTGGTATGGGTATATGTGTTTGTGTATGCATGCATTTATTTAGTAGTATTTGTGTTGTATAGCAGCAGGGCAAGTTTTAGCTCAAGCTAATTTTAATGGATTTTCTATTTTATTTTTATCCTTGTTTCATTTAGAGTTAAAAGAGAAAAGAAAAATTCTATGACCTCTGGTTTCAAAATTATGGTTTTCTGTTAATAAAGAAGAAATTTTCTTCATTTTCTGTAGTTGTTCATTATTTCTTTGGTCTTTTTTTTTTTCTTTTTTTCTTTTTTTCTTTTTTTTTTTTCTTTTTTTGTGGATAGAATGTGAAATTTCAGTTATCCAACAACTGTTTTGTACAAGAAAGCAGCAATTTTGCTGCTACAATCAATTACAAACTATCAAAACTTATCAGAAAAACAAACTTATTTCTTTCGTTAGACTTGGTTTATGCTCTTTCTTTCCGGTTTTTTTTCTGTATATATATTTTTTTGTTTTTCTCTTACCATCCTGATCATTTGCAGGTTGCAGTGCTGGAAGAAGAGCGAAAAAGGGCAATCAAACAGGTTGAGGATGAAGGTAAGACAAAAGAGGATTCCCAATCCCAACACTCAGATTGGTTATCACCCAAGGGTGACAAGGTGAACATCAACAGAGATTTGAAGCAAGAAAATCAGGTGACTAGATTTACATATTCCTTTAATTATCTTAATTAACTTCAATATTTATCAGGATTGGTGCAGTTAGTTGTTTATTAATGTTGAAAATACATAGAACAAGTACTTATTATAAGAATAATAGATTTAAGAGTTTGAATTAATTTTGTTGAATGCCAATTTTGCAACTTTAATGGAAGCATATATTAGGAAAGTACTTCTTAGTGAAGCAATCAGTAAACATGCTCTTTTGAAACTTCAATTCCCATACTCTGCAGCCAATTT